AAGATCAAGTTGATCCACATAACAAAGTGTTTCTATTGAATATTCTAAAATAGGATTTAAACAGTAACCATAAGTTCTTTTACATTTAACTTAAATCAGGTGGGTCATGAAGACCCAGTGCCCAATATGAATGTAGCTCTGGAGCACAAAGTACCAGAAAATCATAAATCTTCATGGTTGGTTATGCACAAAAATACACAAAATTCTAAGGTTTAAGAGGGTTATATTCAGTTCTCCCATTTGCTATAGGTGAAATTCAACATCCTCCAAAATGTCCAAATTTGAAATCTTCTTTCTTGAATGATTTTGTGTTGTGATTAGTGGACTCTAACACTCAAGTATATGCATAGGCATGCAGATGACAAAAGAAAGAAGATTGTTAAGATTGTGCACCCAATGCGTATTTGTATAGGTGTATCAACTACTCAAGGGTATTAAACTGGATGTCTAAGAAATTAGGATATAAACCAACAACTTGGACATGGCACTAGACATAAAGGTGCATAGTTCTATACTAACAAAGCAGGGCACAAAAGGCAGATTAGATTCAAAGCTTCATTAAAAAAATATTCCTTTATAAAATGACATAATATTGCTCATCAGTCGAGAAATTGAAAGTTTTAGAAAAGCAACTTGAAAATAGAAATATACCAAAATTTTGTCCAAGCACACATGAACTTCTAAAAATTAGTATATCAAGGTTGTTCTATACAATTATTGGTCAGTCAATAACTCTAAATATCGCTAAAAAATTTCATACATGAGGATAACCATCAGGATATTGGTTCCTAGAAATGGAATGGGAAAATAACTCTTCAATGATTCGCGACAATGGAGGTAGCAATTCGCGAGGTGGCGGTAGCGGTTAGTAACCGTATAGGAACTTTGCGGTGGGTGAAGAAAGAAGTGAAGGAGAGATGAGGTTGATTATATAGATTTGGCGTAGTGTCATTCGAATTGGGAGGAAGAGATTGTCGCCTTCAAGAGAGGAGAAGAATTTACGGTTAAGTGTTTCAATCACTATGGGTAAAGCCATAAGGGAGAAGGGAAATTGGAAATTCACTGTGATGTAATATGGGTAATTTAGGTAATCTATTAATTTTGATTTAAAATATTTATTTTAAAACTTTAATTCTAGTCAAGGCTAAAATTGTAAAGTGTATTATGACTTTTTGACCCAATTTCCACTATTTCTATTGAAAATATAAAAAATAAATCAGTTTTACGATATGAGCAATATATGAAGGTTGTGCGAGGACGAATAATACAAGGAACTGCATAAGTTATATGCCCCAAATCTAATTCAATTCTATGACTCGCCATACAAAAACTTCCTAAAACCATTATCGCACTTCTTCGAAAGATGATAAGGAAATCCAAAAAATAATATAATTTTTTTTCCTGGGATTTAAGAAGGGCCTTTGTCTGTTTCTATTTTCTTCAAAAGGGAAAGTAAAATCAGCCCCAAAGAAATAAAATTTTCCCAGAAACGAATATTATGAAAGCCGAAACCTTAAATTTCACAAATCACCGTAAAGTCACGCAAGAAATGAACAACTCTTTAGCTAAATACCTCAAAAATTGCAACAACGAGGCCGACTGAAGAACCCTTGCTGTCTGGCACAAAACTCCATCCTTCCCAAAATATTCGTTCGTTTATGATTCTCCTACGCAATTCAAGATTCTTCATTTTGTAGATTCGAACGAACGGTGAATGATTCGTGTGAGAACTATTTGAAGGTTAGATGGACAGATGAACAGCGGTAGGTCTGAGGGGAAATTATTGAAAATGCTCCAAATTCAATCGTACCCTTTCCAAAATACCCCTTTTTACTATTCAACCATATAACTA